GAATCAAAAGTCATATTTATTTATTCAAATATATATGTTATTGAATTTTTTAGCACTCTTTTATTTCTTAATTGGAGAATAAAAATAATATAAATTCAATTTGAAGAACTTATGTAAATATTTGCATCGACTTAGAAATACATATATTCTACGGACCAACCTCAGTACACAAAATGCATTCATCTATGAACACAAATTTGGGATAGGTCATGGTCTGCGCTAGAAAACTAACAAAATTAATTTCTTGCTGGCTGAAGCCAGAGCGGTGAATAACAACACATACATACATACTTTAAAGTTCTTATGCATGTGTAATTCACGCAATACGATCTATTAAGAAAAGATAAGCAGTTTGAGTTCAAAGAAAAAAAAATTAAGTTGTTTCTTGACACAAAAAAAACAAATTAATGGAATCCCCCATTTTAGCACTTTATAATTATAAAAATGAAATAGAATTACATTGTAATGCCAGTCCTTTAGGATTTGGTGCGTAGGTAGGAATAAAATGGTGGACATAATTGGCATAAATTATTGGATTTCAAAAAAAATAAGACGAATGCGCGATGCATATTGAAATTTGTTTAAAAAATATAGCGTATGCACCGAAAACTGGAAAGGGAGAGGGGTTACTGCTTTTTATTTCAAAAGGAAACAAACTTTTTGACATAATACATATAGATCATTATGGGCCAGTACATTCTGGTAGACGTAAAAAATTTCTTTTCGTGGAAGTCGATGGATTCACAAACTAATGCAAAAGAAGTCATTGCCTCATTAAAAGACTATTTTCGATCGTGCAAAGAGCATAATAAGTGCCGAGTTTGGTCAATATATGTTTAAAAAACAAAATGTTTTTTCATACAAAAACTTAATTTTCGACCGATCGTTCCTATGGCAGCTATATGATATAGTGGTCCGATCCAGCTGGTTTTCACATATGTGCTGCGTGCAACAGAAAGAGGGAGTTCTGCAAAGTTTTATTAAGATAGCTTTAAAACTGAGGGACTAGTTCGCATAGAAACAGACAGACGGACATGGCTATATCGACTCGGCTGTTGATGCTGAATAAGAATATATATACTTTATGGGGTCGGAGTTGTCTCCTTCTATTCGTTACACATTTCACGACAAAATTATATTACCCTCTGCAAGGGTATAAAAATGGGGCAGTAGCCATTCGCAGTTGCATATAATTTTGGTTTTTTCTTAACCGATCTTTATGATTATTTGATCCGGTATATCTTATTGTACCATAGAATATTTGTGTATACTGAAAAAGTCAATTGCATTTGTATTGTGGCTTAAATTGGTTGGCAATTAATCTTGATCAGGAGATACGACTGTCAGGCCGAGTTGTAGTAGGATAATGACGTCACATTATCAATAGCATGTATTATCAGATGTACAAACGGTCATTCTGGCAGCAGGTCCCATGTAGATAACAGGGAATGTTAAGCATTAGTGCTAACCAAACAACATATAGACTGGGCATCAGTGGATGAAAGCTGGCACAAAAAATATAGGTGGCATCTAGTCCAAAATCGTGAGTAATGGAGTAATATATACAAATTACGAAGTTGTGCGGTCCCACGTAGCGACTGCGATGTCTGCTCCTGGTCCACCGGTGATACTTGTTATAGTTATTATGTTGCGGAGGTGACTTAACCCCCTTTCGCTAGTCTTGGACTAGGCGGTAATAATAAAAAATAATGATTACGACTTTATTTCCGTATCAATGTTTATTAGCGTCTTATATGTTTGCGCGTTTCACAGAACTCAAAAATACAAGAAAGGTATATAGGTAAACCTAAAGGCAGAAATCCAAAGCTACAAAAATTCATAATATACAAGGTCGGCAAGCCGCTCATCATAAGCGCTAACGTAGCCACTTGCGATATAATCAAGTGTCACGCTGCTGCTGCCGACAAAACAGTCGGGGCGCTGAACTTCTGTGTCAGCGGAATGCGTTTGGAGCGAATGGATAAAACAGTGTTTTGGTATTCTTATGTATTGTATTTACGTGTAACTCTTATGCGTTAACTAACTATATCATATGGCTGCAATAGGAACGATCGGTGGAAAATTAAGTTTTTGTATGAAAAAACGTTTTGTTTATGAATATATCTTGACAAAACTCGGCATTTATTATTTTTACTATGCTCCTCATATATATGCAAAATCCTGTTAAGATCGGACCACTATATCATATAGCTGCCATACGAACGATCGGTCCAAGATTGAGTTGTTGTATGAAAAAATATTTAGTTTTTCAAGATATCTTGACCAAACTCAGCATTTATTAGTTTTACTATACCCTTTCATATGTAGGCAAAATCATATAAAGATCGGACCACTATATCAGTAAGCTGCCATAGGAACGATCGGTCGAAAATTAAGTTGTTGTATTTTAATTAAGCACGGCATTTAAAGGATTCATTTTTGTATAATCTTATTTATCTCGGACTACTACTAATATTATATATCTGCCATAGGAACGATCGGTCGAAAACTAGGTTTTTGATTAAAAACCTTTTTTTTATCAAGATATCTTGACCAAACTGGGCATTTATTAGTTTTACTATACTTCTCATATATATGCAAAATCATATTAAGATCGGACCACTATATGATATAGCTGGCATAGGTGCGATCGATCGAAAATTAAGTTGTATGAATGCCTCAAGTAGTCCCTCTGTTCCCATACCAATACTTTTCCGTCTATTATCGAAATATATGTGGAATACGAATAGTCGATGATCAGACTCTGTACTAAACCTAGCATTAGCAAGATTGCAGATTGAATCCTATAAAAAAAAAACCAATTAAGGTTTGCTCGGTTAATAATATGAACTTAGCTGCGAGCTCTTATTCTAACGGAATGAGGGCGAAAATTTTTGTATGAGAATCTAAAGAAGTGTGTAAGGACCAGAGGCTATAAAAACCTTTCGGTTAAGGAAGCAAGTGTATTGGCTTGTTATATTGTTGGCTATAAAGTTTAAATTTGCAGTTGAAAAAGAAGGTAGCTAGTGGGGAAAATCGTTTTATCCACTACCGATAACGTATGTGGACCTGATTATAAAAAATTAAATTTGATTGTAAAAGAACACGTTAAAAAACAAAGAAAACAAATTACGGTGTCAACGGAGGCTGTCCTTATGAACAATTCTTCCCCCAATGAGTACCGTTCTCCCCAGATCTGCCTCGACTTTCTTTTCAATATAGAGGGGCGATAGCTTGTTTCCCAATCTGCGGTTCGTCTTTTTCCAGAACCTTTTCGCTCACTTAGAAAACCCTTCTTTTGACTGGCTGCATTACATCTTTCAAGTGCAGCTTGCTGTGCCTTTTCGAGTTTTTCTAGCGTGGCATATGCCATGTAAATTATTAATTAATGTATGTCCTGCGATGTAACACAATGTTATCTTGGGTAAGTTGCGTTGATCCCACGCTGCATGGTCGGCAAGCCGACTCAGTATTCCATACAGCGCAGCGCTTCACTTCGAATATGAAGTGTCAGCATACCACTGTTGTTCGTTCTTGGCGCAGAGCGCTGAACTCAAATTTGGCGCATCAGCATTATTCATGAAAAGCTACTGAGTTTAACTTAGTTGTTAACTTGTATGATATCCACCGGTTTTTGGTTCGTGACCGAGGGGATTGACCTGTTATACTCCACTGCCGCCATAATAATTAGTTCAACCGTATCGCTGGCTTTCTTATCCATTTTTAGGCTTCGAGCTATGTCCGTCAAGGTGATATGAAATCTTTCTACCTGACCATTGGAAGCGCGATGTAACGCTGGCGAGTTAACGATGTCTATGTCGTGGTTAGTTTACAGAAGTGACACTATTATTCCAGAATTGAATGCTGCTTCGATATTGTAGAATACCATTTTTGTTTTAGGGAACAGATTGATCAGCTGAATAATGGGCACTTGGACGACAGCCAATTTAGAGAATTTGTCTACACAAGTAAGGAAAAACTTCTAATTGGTGGAAAAAATGTCCACATGCAACATTTCGCCAGCATATCAAGATATTGGTGAGACTCCAAGTTTTTGTTTTTATGGAGTTTGCAATTTGTGACAACTTCACTTGCCAAATTAGTCATTTTGGGAAAATAGTAGTCACGAAGGACTTGCTTAACATTTTCCTATGCGTCCCTGTGCGCTCGGTTATGTTCTGTCGTAACGATTTCCATTTGATCGTTTTTGTTATTAATATCTGACACATAGTTCTTGCAATGCCACAACTAAGTGGCTGGGAAGTTTGACACGAGTTCGTGTTGAAAGCTAGCGAGCGTTGGAAGATCTCAGTGAATTGCGTTGGCTGGGATGATGAGTAGATTTAATATCTCGAACAGTGAAGTTTTGTCCACGAAGCTAATGATGTGGCGAATTTTTTTGCAGAAGGTTATCAATTTCCTTTGTAGTGGGAAACGTGCCTTTTCTAAGACAATTTGTTTTTTTTTTAAAACAATTTAATGGCTTCTCAATTGCCTCTATCGTGTAGGCTAACAAGGTCTCCCTGTGCATGGTTGCAGCGTCCGATAAGGGCCCGCCTTGCATTGCGTTCACGTTTTGTCTGGATAGGGCATCGGGCACAAAATTTTCCTTACCCGGCTTGTAGAACACCTTGGCATTGTGTTCGTCAATGAATGCTTTCCATCTTTTGATTTTTGCATTTGTATTTCTGTCAGAGACAGCGAAAGTAAGGGGGCTGATGGTCGGTGAATATATTATTTGCCTTGTCATATATAGATAATTTTGTAACCTCCCTAAAGCCCATACTATGGCCAGCAACTCTCAAGTTAGCGTAATGAGATTCGCTATCTTTGAGTGTTCTGGAAATCATAGTTATTGGCCCACCATATTAAGACAAAACGGCATCGATGTCGTCCATAGAAGCGTCAGTGGTCAAATCAAAGGATTTTTAAAGTCCGGGTACATGAAGATTACATCTTCTGATGCCAAAATACTCCTCAACGTTTCGAAAGCATTGCGTTGAGTTTCATGGAACTCAACTGAGATTTTTTTTGGATATGTGTTTACTCACGGAGCCGTTTTCTCCTTTAAGAATGTTGGTCAGTGGGCAAGCTATTGCTGCAAAATCTTTGATAAAGCCTCTGTTCGCAGCAGAACGCCCTCTGAATAATATTATATCTGACTTTCAATATATCTTTACTTCTCAAATCACGATATTGAAGTCACATACTATTATTTTTAAACCACCATAAAATCCCATTGTTCATCACTAATGTATCGATAGTTATTGTTAATGTTCGAGAAGTAAATCACGCATTATAAGCAGTTTAAAGGCTCCTTTGATTTTTATTAAAATTTTTAAAACATAAAAGGGGCCGAAGTGGGGTGCAAACTAGCATCTCCTCAAAACATTGGTGACCCCGGCGTGAATTTCTTTCTTGCTTCTCGTCTTGCCGCAAATCTTACTTTCGTTGTTCATCGCTCTTTTGCTGCTGCAGCATAGGCACTAAACTCAAGTACAGATATATGTACATATGTATGTACATACATATGTATTTCGCACACCGGCTCGACTGCGCGCTTCTCTCTAACGATCTTATCGCGTTATTTAGCAGATCGGCTATTATAACCAATCTGTTTGGTGCATATCAGTGCCAAGCCCAACCGTTTGCATAGAAAAGAAGCCGTCGAGCAGATACCTACATACTTACATACATACATATGAATGTGAATGCAAGTGCCGCTACAATTGCTCTCGATACATACACATACACAAGCCGCTGCACACATAAAACGGTATGATGATGAGTGGATTTAATATCTCGAACAGTGAAGTTTTGTCCACGAAGCTAATGATGTGGCGAATTTTTTTGCAGAAGGTTATCAATTTCCTTTGTAGTGGGAAACGTGCCTTTTCTAAGGCAATTTGTTTTTTTTTTAAAACAATTTAATGGCTTCTCAATTGCCTCTATCGTGTAGGCTAACAAGGTCTCCCTGTGCATGGTTGCAGCGTCCGATAAGGGCCCGCCTGGCATTGCGTTCACGTTTTGTCTGGATAGGGCATCGGCCACAAAATTTTCCTTACCCGGCTTGTAGAACACCTTGGCATTGTGTTCGTCAATGAATGCTTTCCATCTTTTGATTTTTGTATTTGTATTTCTGTCAGAGACAGCGAAAGTAAGGGGCTGATGGTCGGTGCATATATTATTTGCCTTGTCATATAAAGATAATTTTGTAACCTCCCTAAAGCCCATACTAAGGCCAGCAACTCTCAAGTTAGCGTAATGAGATTCGCTATCTTTGAGTGTTCTGGAAATCATAGATATTGGCCCACCATATTAAGACAAAACGGCATCGATGTCGTCCATAGAAGCGTCAGTGGTCAAATCAAAGGATTTTTAAAGTCCGGGTACATGAAGATTACATCTTCTGATGCCAAAATGCTCCTTAAGGTTTCGAAAGCATTGCGTTGAGTTTCATGGAACTCAACTGAGATTTTTTTTGGATATGTGTTTACTCACGGAGCCGTTTTCTCCTTTAAGAATGTTGGTCAGTGGGCAAGCTATTGCTGCAAAATCTTTGATAAAGCCTCTGTTCGCAGCAGAACGCCCTCTGAATAATATTATATCTGACTTTCAATATATCTTTACTTCTCAAATCACGATATTGAAGTCACATACTATTATTTTTAAACCACCATAAAATCCCATTGTTCATCACTAATGTATCGATAGTTATTGTTAATGTTCGAGAAGTAAATCACGCATTATAAGCAGTTTAAAGGCTCCTTTGATTTTTATTAAAATTTTTAAAACATAAAAGGGGCCGAAGTGGGGTGCAAACTAGCATCTCCTCAAAACATTGGTGACCCCGGCGTGAATTTCTTTCTTGCTTCTCGTCTTGCCGCAAATCTTACTTTCGTTGTTCATCGCTCTTTTGCTGCTGCAGCATAGGCACTAAACTCAAGTACAGATATATGTACATATGTATGTACATACATATGTATTTCGCACAATGGCTTGACTGCGCGCTTCTCTCTAACGATCTTATCGCGTTATTTAGCAGATCGGCTATTATAACCAATCTGTTTGGTGCATATCAGTGCCAGGCCCAACCGTTTGCTTAGAAAAGAAGCCGTCGAGCAGATACCTACATACTTACATACATACATATGAATGTGAATGCAAGTGCCGCTACAATTGCTCTCGATACATACACATACACAAGCCGCTGCACACATAAAACGGTATGATGATGAGTGGATTTAATATCTCGAACAGTGAAGTTTTGTCCACGAAGCTAATGATGTGGCGAATTTTTTTGCAGAAGGTTATCAATTTCCTTTGTAGTGGGAAACGTGCCTTTTCTAAGACAATTTGTTTTTTTTTTTTAAACAATTTAATGGCTTCTCAATTGCCTCTATCGTGTAGGCTAACAAGGTCTCCCTGTGCATGGTTGCAGCGTCCGATAAGGGCCCGCCTGGCATTGCGTTCACGTTTTGTCTGGATAGGGCATCGGCCACAAAATTTTCCTTACCCGGCTTGTAGAACACCTTGGCATTGTGTTCGTCAATGAATGCTTTCCATCTTTTGATTTTTGTATTTGTATTTCTGTCAGAGACAGCGAAAGTAAGGGGCTGATGGTCGGTGCATATATTATTTGCCTTGTCATATATAGATAATTTTGTAACCTCCCTAAAGCCCATACTAAGGCCAGCAACTCTCAAGTTAGCGTAATGAGATTCGCTATCTTTGAGTGTTCTGGAAATCATAGTTATTGGCCCACCATATTAAGACAAAACGGCATCGATGTCGTCCATAGAAGCGTCAGTGGTCAAATCAAAGGATTTTTAAAGTCCGGGTACATGAAGATTACATCTTCTGATGCCAAAATACTCCTTAAGGTTTCGAAAGCATTGCGTTGAGTTTCATGGAACTCAACTGAGATTTTGTTTGGATATGTGTTTACTCACGGAGCCGTTTTCTCCTTTGAGAATGTTGGTCAGTGGGCAAGCTATTGCTGCAAAATCTTTGATAAAGCCTCTGTTCGAAGCAGAACGCCCTCTGAATAATATTATATCTGACTTTCAATATATCTTTACTTCTCAAATCACGATATTGAAGTCACATACTATTATTTTTAAACCACCATAAAAACCCATTGTTCATCACTAATGTATCGATAGTTATTGTTAATGTTTGAGAAGTAAATCACGCATTATTAGCAGTCTAAAGGCTCCTTTGATTTTTATTAAAATTTTTAAAACATGAAAGGGGCCGAAGTGGGTGCAAACTAGCATCTCCTCAAAACATTGGTGACCCCGGCGTGAATTTCTTTCTTGCTTCTCGTCTTGCCGCAAATCTTACTTTCGTTGTTCATCGCTCTTTTGCTGCTGCAGCATAGGCACTAAACTCAAGTACAGATATATGTACATATGTATGTACATACATATGTATTTCGCACACCGGCTCGACTGCGCGCTTCTCTCTAACGATCTTATCGCGTTATTTAGCAGATCGGCTATTATAACCAATCTGTTTGGTGCATATCAGTGCCAAGCCCAACCGTTTGCTTAGAAAAGAAGCCGTCGAGCAGATACCTACATACTTACATACATACATATGAATGTGAATGCAAGTGCCGCTACAATTGATCTCGATACATACACATACACAAGCCGCTGCACACATAAAACGGTACTCGCATTCTCGCACTGCGCACTCTGTGACATTCGCAGTGGTCAAGGGCATAGCCCTTCTCCATAAGTGAATTTTGGTGACAGGCCGGAGTACAGTGAGCATTCAACAAAACGTACCAACCAAACATTACCTCGCCAACGACAGAATGGAAAATTCGACAATTGAAAAAGACTTTTACAAAGCCAAATGCGTTCTGTTCAACGCCACCTATTAGCAATGACCGATATCTTCAGCGTTGGTGAGATGATCAGCTTTGACGAGACCGATCTGATGGTGCGTATAGAATCTGCGGAGAGCATGAAGGCCGAGTTTGATATCAGCCAGTCAAGGCTAGAAAAATTAGATTTGCTCGCTCAGACTTCGAGAAGGTTTACTGGAAGATCATATCCCATCTCGCTCGTCAAGTGGATGTAGTCACTAAGGGACGTATGACTGACGCCAATTCAACAACTATCCCACGGTTTGCTGAAAGTACGCACACATTTGGTCACTTGTTCAACCGTAAGTCTCGCCTACCGGAATTGCAGCTGCTCAGGTTAAGCGGCTTCTACGAGGATTGGCCGGATTTTTACGCCATGTACAAGACTGTCATTGGCAGCAATGAGGACCTAAGTAAGATTGAGAAATTACAACATTTACGTGCGTGCTTGGACGGTGCTGCTCTCAACACAATCAAATCGTTAGAGCCTGTCGACGTGAATTACGCCAAGGCGTTGGAGTTACTCATAAAGCGTTTTGATAATAAGTTGCTACATTTTCAGAGCCACGTGCGGGCTATATTCGGGCTGCCAGGTGTTGAAAAGGGATCAGCAGAGGCGTTGCGTGAGTTGAGTGACAAAATTAACTCGCATCTTCGGGCGCATAGCACCATGTCAACAACTAAGGAGCTGGCTGACGGATTACTCATACACACAATATCGCACAAGCTCGATCAACACACCCAGGAAAAGTGGCAGGAGGCGCTTGCATCGGATAAGCTACCCAGGTGGACGGATATGTTGGCGTTCTTAGAGAAGAGATGCCGCATGATGGAAAACTTGAAAGGCGCTACAGCACCTACGCCTAGCCACCAGGTTACCAGAAATGTTCAAAAATTGAAGCGTAACACATTCATTGCATCCTCATCTAACAATTACCAGCAAAATTGTAATTTTTGTGACTCAAAAGAGAATTTTCTTGTTAAATGCCCGTTGTTTATGAATCTGTCCCCAAGTTTGCGCCACAAGGGGGCCAAGCGATTGCATATTTGCCTAAACTGATTGCGCAAAGGAAATGGCTTGCAGCAATGTCGCTCAGGTCACTGCAGGCATTGCCAACAAAAACATCATTCGTTGCTGAACATAAGCCTCATCACAACTCAATCATCTGCACTGTGTACACCAAGCTTGCAGGCTGCAACTACGATCCAGCCTCACGCATCGTCTTTAAGTAATCCACCGTCTTCAACTCTCGTCAGAGCTGCTCTTGAATTCGCACCTGAAGCCACGAATGCCCAGCCTGTAGACTATATAGTGCTTCCAACCGTCATCTTATATGCCAAGAGCCACTCAGGTGTATTCATACCCTGCCGCGCATTACTGGATTCTGGATCTCAACTCAACTTTATCACTGCTCGTCTAGTAAAGCAGCTCCAACTCAAAACTCATCATGCTGCCGTATCAATATCTGGTATAGGCGAATCAACCCTATCTTCTAATATGTCCACTAACATATCGGCGCAGTCACGTGACAGGAGCTTCAGCACATCATTTTCAGCAGTCGTTACTCGCAGTATAACGGATTATCAGCCCCACTTTGGGTTAGACATCTCTGGGTGGAATATCCCCAAAAAAATCTCGCTCGCAAAATCAATGTTTTTCAAATCTGAAAGAATAGATTTATTACTTGGTGCCGGACTATTTTTCGATCTCATTTGCATCTGCCAAATTTGAATGGCGGATAACCTACCAACGCTCCAAAAGACCACGCTCGAATGGATTGCGTATGGAGGACTCTCTCGCGTACACAACAAACACACATCCTTTTCAGCCCTTTACAAGGAACCTAATCCATGGGAGGATCCACTGTCGGATATTGTAAAACGATTCTGGGAAGTCGATAATTGCTGCGGTACAACCCCAGCGCTCTCTGATAAAGACGCTCTATGTGAGCAGCTATTTCTCCAAGGCTACACGCGACTAAGGTCAGGGAAATATTCAGTTAGGCTTCCAGCAAAGCTCAGCTTCGGCACGCTAGGAGACTCATATCAACGTGGTCTACGACGTTTCAAGTCGCTCGAAAACAAATTGGACAAAAATCACCAGCTGAAGGAGAGCTACTCTGCATTCATGTGCGAATACATCGACTTGGGCCACATGTCTTTGGCTTCCAAGCAGCATCTTGTCCCACAATTTTATTTACTCCACCACTGCGTAGAAAAGCCAGATAGCTCAACCACCAAATTGCGCATCGTTTTTGATGGATCAGCCAAATCCACATCAGGCGCATCTCTGAATGATCTTTTGCATACAGGCCCAGCAATTCAACCCAAATTATTCAACATTCTAATTCACTTTCGTTTTTTAAAGGTTGCCTTGTGCGGTGACGTCTGTAAGATGTACCGCTGTGTCCGAATAACGCATCCAGATCAATTTCTGAAGTTCATCTTATGGCGTGATCACCAAAATGAAAGCATAAGGACGTACACCCTGGATACAGTAACGTATGGAACCAAACCCGCTGCGTTTCCAGCAATTCGAGCGATGCAGCAGCTGGCCCACAACGAAGAGCCTACCTTTCCATTAGCTGCAAAGATAGTTTATCGCGACTTCTACGTAGACGATTTAATTTCTGGAGGGGACTCTATAGAAGAAGCCATTCAGATCCGACAACAAGTAAAACTGCTACTGGCTAAAGGTCACTTTCCAATCAGAAAGTGGTGCTCAATCGAGCCTGATGCATTAAAAAGTGAATCCGATTGTGAGAAGCCAATGGAGTTCAGGGATGGCACCAACATTGCAAAGGCGCTTGGTTTAGCTTGGAGCCATAGCTCTGATAGCCTGCTTTTCAACTTTGCGGAGATCGTACCCGAAGGATCACTCACAAATCGGACCATATTATCAATGATTTTACGATCCGCTCGGATTGATCGCGCCCATCGTTACCATGTGAAAGGTATTTCTCCAAGCACTGTGGAAGGAAAGGGTCAATTGGGACGAATGCCTGTCGCAGTCGCTGCACTTCGAATGGATCAAACTCATATCGCAACTCTCATTTGTCAGCAGCTTGAAATTCTCCCGTTTTGTATTGATGCCACTGGCTACGTATGAACTGCATGGATTTTGCGACGCCAGCACAGCCGCTTATGGTGCTTGCGTATTTGCCAGATCCGAAATGCAAGGGGTATTATCACATTTGCTATGCTCTAAATCAAGGGTCGCCCCATTAAAGACGCTGACAATCCCAAAGCTTGAGCTGGCAGCTGCACTTTTATTATCAGAGCTCATAGGAAACATTGCCAAGTGCGTTCAGTTCGAATGCAGATATCATTGCTGGACCGACTCAACAGTAGCGGTTGCATGGATTCGTGATTCACCTTCAAAGTTGAACGTCTTTGTATCCAATAGGGTATCACAAATACAGGAGCGGACCAAGGGCATGACCTGGCATCATGTACCCTCTCAGCTGAACCCTGCGGACATTTTATCACGTGAATGCACACCTTTGGAACTTTTGGACTCACAGCTATGGCATAATGGACCCCTATTCATACAGGCCGCTAGCTCGACTTAGCCTCAAAACGTCGCCTATCCCCTTAAGCTTCCAAAGCGACGCCAGAAAGTGCTGGTACTATCAACGAAGACGGACCTATCGGAATGTTGTATATTCAACAACACATTTGCCAAGTTACAGCGCACTTTCGCATACGGGTATCGATTTATAGTGCTAAAAAGATCTGATTCGACTAGATCAAAAGGTCCATTCACTCCAGATGATATCAAGTGCGGAACGCATTTACTTATAAAAAACATTCAACTTCGCACTTCGCCGAAGAGTACAAAACACTCAGCTTACAAAGGCCGCTTCCAACAAGAAGCAAACTTCGTTGAGTGGGCCCATTGCTGGACGCTGAGGGACTCTTGCGCATCGGCGGGCGCCTTCAGAACTCAAGCTTGGAATATGAAGCAAAGCATCCGTTATTGTTGCCTAAACGCCACCCAGTCACCGCAGCTATGATCCCTTATTATCATTTTGAATTTCTTCATGCTGGTCCGCAATTCCTTTTAGCAACATTCGGCCAGCGATACTGGCCCATCGGAGGTCTCATGACTGTCTCAAATATCATCAACAGGTGCGTGCGCTGCTTTCGAATGCGACCTAAACTTCTGGGGCAAGTCATGGCCCCGCTACCAGCTGAGCGTGTGCAGCCAAGTCCGACGTTTCACGTAAATGGCATCATCTTTTGCGGTCCTTTCTACGTCAAATCAGAGGTCAGCAATCGCTCACCAACGAAATGCTACATCTCAATTTTTATATGCTTTGCAACGAAAGCAACGCATTTAGAGTTGGTAGAGGACCTGTCCACGTCATCGTTTATCGCTGCCCTGAAGAGATTCATCAGCCTTCGAGGGAAACCGCATACAATATGGACAGACAACGCAACAAATTTCGTGGGTGCTCGAAATGAGCTGAAGGAACTGCGCGACCTGTTTATAAGCGATCCCCAGCGCAATGAGATTGTTCGCAACTGCCTAGCTCTGGGAATCATATTTTGGAGGATTGTGGGAGACCGCTGTCAAGTCAGCAACATATCATTTTTACCGCGTCGTTGGAAATTCTCTTCTCTCCATCCACGAATTCCGAACTTTCATCTGTCAAATATTCGCAATGCTTAACCCAAGACCGCTTTGCTATATTACAGAAAACTCGAATGACTTGGAGATACTCACGCCTGGGCACTTCATCTGGGGCAAAGCGAATGCCACTATCGACGAACCAGACATAACTCACCTAAGCTTAGATCGCTCAGCCATTGGCAGCGAATATGTCACATGCAGCAATCATATTGGAAGAAATGAAGTACATCGTATTTGTCGCTGCTCCAAGAGCGCGGGAAATGGCGATGTCCAAGCAAAATCTTCAGGCCGGCAACATCGTGCTTCTCAAGGAGGACAATGCACCACCACTCAGGTGGCCGCTTGGTCGAGTCGACATCGTCATCACGGATGACGACGGCATTGTGAGAGTAGCAGTCATTCGTACACAAAATGGTCTGGTCAAGAGAGCCATTGCCAAAATCGACGTTCGTGATTTTTTTGGACATGTGTTTACTCACGGAGCCGTTTTCTCCTTTGAGAATGTTGGTCAGTGGGCAAGCTGTTGCTGCAAAATCTTTGATAAAGCCTCTGTTCGCAGCAGAAAGCCCTCTGAATAATATTATATCTGAATTACAATATATCCTTGCTTCTCAAATCACGATATTGAAGTCACATACTATTATTTTTAAGCCACCATAAAATACCATTGTAAATTGCTCATCACTAATCTATAGATAGTTATTGTTGAAAGTTCGAGAAGTAAATCACGCATTACAAGCAATCTAAAGGCTCATTTTTATTAAAATTTATAAAACATAAAAGGGACCGAAGTGGGATGCAAACTAGCATCTCCTCAAAACAGCCTCTATAATAGTTGGCTAGGCCAAAAAGTGATCGCAGGCTGATCAAGTTTTTTGGCTCAGGGAATTCTTGCATGGCTTTTACCTTTTCAGGGTCGGCTCTGGCCCCGTTTTTTGTTAATACGAGTCCCAGAAGCTCGACGATTTCTTTGAAAAATTTGTCTTTTCTTGAGCAACACGCATGTTAGCATTGCACAGACATTCCAACTTTCTGTTTATGTGCCGAACATGATCAGCTTAGTTCGCGGAAAAAATTATGATGTCGTCAACGTATGTCTCTGAGGACATCATTGATGGCCCTTTGAAAAATGCTTCCCGCAATTTTCAGTCCGAAAGTAAATCGGCAGAACTCGTGTTTTCCCCCATTGACCATGAACTGTTTTTTTCGCGATCATGTTCTGTTTAATAAATTTGGTGATAGCCCAATTTTAAGTCGAGGGTCGTGAAAAACTTTGCCTGTCCCAGACTTGCTAAAATCATGGGAATACTCGGCACTGGGTATCGATCGGCTATAGTTCGTTCATTGAGCTTCAATAATTAAGATTACCAATCGTTTGTTTTTGTTGCCGTTGGGGTCGAAACCTTTTTTTTTGACGACCAAAGAAGGGCTGTTGTATGGCGGTTTGGATGGTGTAATTATGCCGTCTTTTAGCAATTTTTTGATTTCCTTGTTTACGAATTCTGAAACTCTCATAGGGTACGGGTATAATTTTAAATACGCCGGTTCGTTGTCTGTGGTTCGAATAGAGGCAGTGACTTGAACTTTTTGCTAACAGAGTTTGGTACTTAAATATCGTCTACATCTTTGACGATTGTGATATTGGAGCTCCTCAGACTTATCTTTAGAACTGAGCGTGCTCTCCTGTAAATTTAAATTTAAAGCTAATCAATCACTAACCAAACAACATATAGACTGGACATTAGTGAAAAGTTGGCACTAAAAGTATCGGTGGCTTCTGGTCTAAAATCGCGAGGAAGGGAATAAGATATACATATGATTTATTTTTTAACCACTTACACTACAGGAAAGTGCTTGGCGCACTCGCTTCTATATGATTTGTGCGATAGAACAGCAAGTCTGTTTATTTTTATCTCGCTCGCACCTACGTTTACGTTAATTCCGAAAAGCTACTTAATATAAAAATATATATATATACTTGTCTAAAATATAATATATACTTGTCTAAGATCCGAATCGAATGAAATTTTGATTATTTCACACATTCCTAGAGAAATAAATAACACCACCTTATACGAAATTCTACCCTACCCAGACTATGATCAAGTCGAAACAATACAAATATTACTCACGCAAGAAAAAACTGACTCTTAACATATAATATCATACTCACATTGTCACTTTAAAATACCTTGTAAATATTCTTAAACTTACATCACCAATCATCCACTCACTTGACCATCACCACTCTTCTTAAAAACCGTCAGCTAAACTAAACTAAAACTCGTGTCTTATCTGTTTAGAATTAATATTAAATAAATAAATAAATAAAAGGCCGAAGTGGGATGCAAAGCAGCATCTCCTGTATCGTTGCGTAGCATAACAACTCCAGACTCGATTTGCTATGACAACGCTAGCAAAATTATGCAATACATGGCTTTTGCGACGCAAGCATGACTGCATATGGCGCTTGTGTCCACATAAGATCCGAGTTGAAAGGAGTTGTCGCATCACATCTGCTGTGTTCCAAATCTAGAGTGGCACCCCTCAAAACGCTAACAATCCCGAAGCTGGAACTTCTAGCAGCGCTCATACTTTCGGAGTTATTCTGCAACGTCACCGCAGATATTCCGTTCAAATGCAAATATCATTGTTGGACTGACTCAACTATAGCACTGGCATGGACACGAGAAACGCCTTCTAACTTCAATGTTTTCATTTCTAACAGTGTTACACAAATCCAGGAACGCACTAAAGGCATGGCCTGGCACCATGTGTCGTCGCACCAGAACCCTGCTGACATCTTATCATGTGGATGCACGCCGCTGGAACTTATAGAATCGCAGCATTGGCACAACGGTCCGACATTCCTGCGCTCCAGCAGCTCAGAATGACCTGAAGACAGTGCTTATCAGCTGGAGCATCCAAAGCATCGCCACAATACATTGGTCCTATTAATGCAAAGGGATTTGCCGCATCGTGCCAATTTAAAAATTCATTTGGAATGCTCCAGCGTAATTTCGCATATATTTTTCTATTTATTACGAAAATTGAAACGAGCTCATCTCGATCCAACGATTTCTTTACTCTGGATGAAATTAAGCAAGGAACACACGTACTCATCAAAAGTATTCAGACTCTACATCCCGTGGTCGGCTTCAGAATTCCAACATTGAATATGAAGCCAAGCACCCCATACTCTTACCCAAACTGCATCGACTTAAGGTCGTTTCTAGAGTCGTGAACATATGTGTTCGTTGCTATCGCATGCGACCAAAAATTTTGGATCAACCCATGGCTCCACTACCAGCAGACCGCGTGCAATCCAGTCCTACGTTCCACGTAACTGGAATAGACTTTTGCGGCCTCCGTCTTTTATGGCTGCGTTGAAACGATTCAGTCAGTCTAAGAGGCAAGCCGAACCTTTTCATGAGTGATCCTGAACGCAGCCTGATCGTCAACGAATCCTTGGCGCTGGGAATCACTTGGCACTTTATTTCGCCACGATCGACACATTTTGGTGGCTTATGGGAGGTCGCAATGAAGTCAGCCAAACATCATTTTCACCGCGTCGTTGGAAATGCTCTTTTCTCATTTAATTAACCCTTATTTGCTAAATATCTGCCATGTTAAATTCAAGACCGCTCTGTCCCATTATTGAAGTCACATACTATTATTTTTAAGCCACCATAAAATACCATTGTAAATTGCTCATCACTAATCTATAGATAGTTATTGTTGAAAGTTCGAGAAGTAAATCACGCATTACAAGCAATCTAAAGGCTCATTTTTATTAAAATTTATAAAACATAAAAGGGACCGAAGTGGGATGCAAACTAGCATCTCCTCAAAACAGCCTCTATAATAGTTGGCTAGGCCAAAAAGTGATCGCAGGCTGATCAAGTTTTTTGGCTCAGGGAATTCTTGCATGGCTTTTACCTTTTCAGGGTCGGCTCTGGCCCCGTTTTTTGTTAATACGAGTCCCAGAAGCTCGACGATTTCTTTGAAAAATTTGTCTTTTCTTGAGCAACACGCATGTTAGCATTGCACAGACATTCCAACTTTCTGTTTATGTGCCGAACATGATCAGCTTAGTTCGCGGAAAAAATTATGATGTCGTCAACGTATGTCTCTGAGGACATCATTGATGGCCCTTTGAAAAATGCTTCCCGCAATTTTCAGTCCGAAAGTAAATCGGCAGAACTCGTGTTTTCCCCCATTGACCATGAACTGTTTTTTTCGCGATCATGTTCTGTTTAATAAATTTGGTGATAGCCCAATTTTAAGTCGAGGGTCGTGAAAAACTTTGCCTGTCCCAGACTTGCTAAAATCATGGGAATACTCGGCACTGGGTATCGATCGGCTATAGTTCGTTCATTGAGCTTCAATAATTAAGATTACCAATCGTTTGTTTTTGTTGCCGTTGGGGTCGAAACCTTTTTTTTTGACGACCAAAGAAGGGCTGTTGTATGGCGGTTTGGATGGTGTAATTATGCCGTCTTTTAGCAATTTTTTGATTTCCTTGTTTACGAATTCTGAAACTCTCATAGGGTACGGGTATAATTTTAAATACGCCGGTTCGTTGTCTGTGGTTCGAATAGAGGCAGTGACTTGAACTTTTTGCTAACAGAGTTTGGTACTTAAATATCGTCTACATCTTTGACGATTGTGATATTGGAGCTCCTCAGACTTATCTTTAGAACTGAGCGTGCTCTCCTGTAAATTTAAATTTAAAGCTAATCAATCACTAACCAAACAACATATAGACTGGACATTAGTGAAAAGTTGGCACTAAAAGTATCGGTGGCTTCTGGTCTAAAATCGCGAGGAAGGGAATAAGATATACATATGATTTATTTTTTAACCACTTACACTACAGGAAAGTGCTTGGCGCACTCGCTTCTATATGATTTGTGCGATAGAACAGCAAGTCTGTTTATTTTTATCTCGCTCGCACCTACGTTTACGTTAATTCCGAAAAGCTACTTAATATAAAAATATATATATATACTTGTCTAAAATATAATATATACTTGTCTAAGATCCGAATCGAATGAAATTTTGATTATTTCACACATTCCTAGAGAAATAAATAACACCACCTTATACGAAATTCTACCCTACCCAGACTATGATCAAGTCGAAACAATACAAATATTACTCACGCAAGAAAAAACTGACTCTTAACATATAATATCATACTCACATTGTCACTTTAAAATACCTTGTAAATATTCTTAAACTTACATCACCAATCATCCACTCACTTGACCATCACCACTCTTCTTAAAAACCGTCAGCTAAACTAAACTAAAACTCGTGTCTTATCTGTTTAGAATTAATATTAAATAAATAAATAAATAAAAGGCCGAAGTGGGATGCAAAGCAGCATCTCCTGTATCGTTGCGTAGCATAACAACTCCAGACTCGATTTGCTATGACAACGCTAGCAAAATTATGCAATACATGGCTTTTGCGACGCAAGCATGACTGCATATGGCGCTTGTGTCCACATAAGATCCGAGTTGAAAGGAGTTGTCGCATCACATCTGCTGTGTTCCAAATCTAGAGTGGCACCCCTCAAAACGCTAACAATCCCGAAGCTGGAACTTCTAGCAGCGCTCATACTTTCGGAGTTATTCTGCAACGTCACCGCAGATATTCCGTTCAAATGCAAATATCATTGTTGGACTGACTCAACTATAGCACTGGCATGGACACGAGAAACGCCTTCTAACTTCAATGTTT